TTTTTTTTTTTTTTTTTTAAAACACGTTGACACATACAAAGAAATTAGAAAGTAATCGAAGATCATTTACCTTTTCTCTCTCGACCAATCAAACTTCTACTTCAAACTAAATTATCTTACAGTTCGATAGGTCGTAATTTGAATAAAAATAAATTGAAAAGAAAAAAGATAAGAGACAACAGACAGGTCAATTTAACATGGCCGTTCTATGATTAAACGTAATGTAACATTATATACCAATGATTGCGTGATATTACAATCTAAGTAGCCAATACGTTTCAAAACGTTGAACTTTGAGCTTCCAACGAAACAAGTTTTGTACCCAGTAAACTTCCTTTGCAAGGACATTAGATTGGACGGAAGACGGAAAGATAAAAAATCAAAAAAAAAAGAGAGAAAGAAGGACTTTAAACTCATAAGTAATAGTGTCGTAAAGGGGATCGAGATTAATTCAAATCAGATGACTAATAATTTTCTATTTTTTTATTAATGACCGACCGTATGATATATCATTGGAAAAAAAAAAAAAACAGAATATTAAAAATCAAATCTAACGCGTCCAAAGTCGAAAATATTTCTTTCTTTCTTTTTTGAACGAACGAAGGAAGGAACGAATGGCAACTATACTTCGTTCTAGATATATAAACCGGGCTATTACGCAAGCGGCCCGTGTCAGGATCGATGGAAAGCAAAAATGTAAACGCGACTTTCTCTATGAAATAGCTCCTCCGTTCGTTTTGCCACCGTCTTTTACTTGTACTTTACTTGTATTGACTTATGCAAGCAAGTAATCAAGAAGTTAATCCACTTCGACTTCTTGGCACGCGAAATCGCTAGGGGCACACGCACTATAAGAATTATTTATTAATAATATAGTCTCACGTTTCTAAGAATCGATCGATTAACAAGAAAAATACAAAAATTTTCATTCGTCAAATAATACATTCTTATCGAGGAAAAAACAAAATATAAAAAAACTCATTCTACAAGTCAACTTATGTTAAAACTTCAATGGCCGCACGTCTACGCAATCAAATGTCGCCAGGAGCCGATAATATTTTGGAAAAATTAATTTAAAAAAAAACTAAAATTAAATTCACGAAAAAATTAACATAAAAAAAAAACAACAACAATAAATTTAATTTTATATAATTTTAAATATATAAATAACGGCCAATGACGGTTGTTCCGGCTATCACACACATGTTGTGTGAGCGGCCATTAAAGTGTTAATAATTATAAACGTTTGATATTATCGTAGAAATGTTTCCCAATAGATTTTTCTATCATTCGAAATACATAAAAAAAACATAATAATAAAAATAGAAAATATATAATATGTATTATCTTTTTAATTTTTCAGCGCTTGGCTGCCACGAGCGAACGTATCGTCAACTTCAAGGCACGATTGATCACCTCGATTATCTAGGATCGTGCAAGAAGTAGGATACAGATCTATAAGAAACAATCGTGAAAGTCTTCGTGATAAAATTACGTAGCACTAGTCGCGATACAAGAAAGCCAACCCTGCCGGAGGACCACGGGGTACGACGTTGACAACATTATCGACATATATATTTTCTCTCTCTCTCTCTCTCTCTCTCGTTCTTTCTTATACTGAATTTTTATTTTTTTATTTACGATTTCCTTACATTTTCTATACGTCGAATGTTGTCCCCTTGTCCCTGAGATCCAAAAAAAAAAAAAGAACAAAAAGATAAAACAACGAATTCTCATCGATCATTGCTCAGAATGTGTCCATATTTTCTCTCTCTCTCTCTTTCTCTTTTTATCTTCTTTTCTTCGCTTTTCTTTAATTAATTATTCATTTCTCTTTGTTTCTATTCTATATTTTCGTCTACTTAATTCTTCCTTAGATGATTAACAAAAAAGACAAAACAAAAAAATAGAATAATAAATGTAAAAGTCCCTACTTCGATCTAGAAAAGAAAAAAAAAAGAAAAAAAAACACAAAGAATTTCTCGAAAGTACGCATCTTATACAAAGATCCATTAAAATAAATGTAATCGTTTAAGATGCGCATCTTTCGACGATCGATGAGAGAGAAACACTGTGAGTTGCACTTATGTAATGTTGTTTTGCAAAGTTTTGTACATAGACCTGTGCCTCAAACCCCATGCCCTGCCCCATTTCTCTAAGAACACGTTTTAGTTCAGTGTCAAACACTGATTGTTTTATTTCTTCCCCCCTCCCCCTTATTTTCTTGTTTTATTATAATTATAATTATTTACTAAAAATATATTTGCGATGAAATGCAAAGTCGTATCTTTTGTCCGTTCCATCAAAAGCAAAAATTTTGATTATTTCTTTTGTTCAAAATAAATTTTAGATGAATAGAGTTTAAAAGAAAAAATAAATATTCTAGCGTTATAAATTGCGCTGTGAAAATAATAATAATGGTTGAAAGGTTTAGGATACTTTTTTTGGTTCTCTCTCTCTCTATCTCTTTTTCTCTCTTTCTTCTTTTTATTTTGAATATTAATCCCACGAGTAAATTTGTGTAATTTGGAAAAATAGAAAAGAACCTAGTGGATTTTCAATACTAATTTGAGATAATGTATTATTTCAAAGATTTTTTTTTATCTAATTCTTCGTTTGCAATTTAATTCAATTGCATATACAAGTGAGTCCCAGAAGTATTCATACCCGTTCCTATTGTAAATTACAAATTGATTGATATTTTCTTGTATTGAAAAGCTTCTAAATCTAATTTAGGATTATTCAACTTTTAAATTGATATACATTTCATTGCAGAAGAATATTTTATTCTTATATAAATAAAAACAAAATATTGATAACTTTTAATTGACAATAGGGAAACAAATACTTCTGTAACTTACAATACGCATTTATATACTTACGTATTTACGTATTCTCGTCATCATTCAAATGTAAAAAATATAAAATTAAAAGTCTCCCATTTCTCTCTCTCTCTCTCTCTCTCTTTGAATCTTCTCAAAAAGTTTAGAAAATTCAAAGAGAGAAATTGAATACAATGTTCTGAAGAAAGAAAAGGTGTCCTCTCGTAACGCGAACGAAGTCCATTATATATTTATATGTGTAAATCGAGCCCGTTGTTTTGTAGTGTAAATAAATATTATTGTAATAAGAAACATAAAAAGAGTCTACTATTATATTTATTGTAATTCTAATTACCTAATCTTTATCAATGACTATTTATAAAATATACCATTGATCATACAGCAATGTAAATTTTACAACGATGCAATTCCTGAAAAGGTATTATTCATAAAAAATTAATTTCAATAATTACAACCAGTAGTTCGTACCATTTAGAATCTTTTATTCATGGTATGACTTAGCATCGGAGGAATTTTAAATTTGTTTACATACTCGTTACCAAGTACTAATCACATATCTAAAAAATGAACAGTTAGTATTAAAAGTTCTAAGATAACCTCAAAACACTCTTATTTAACAGCAATTATTATTATAGTCTGCTATTCTTTTGACAGAATATTACTGCACATGGTTCTTTCCCAATGTAAATATAATAAGAACAGTATCTTCAAAAATCTTTCATGATTGTGGTATTGTTAGATTCTTCTTATCGTGGTTAAAAGTAATGCATAGTCTTTTCCAGTTCAACGATGTAAAATCTCTTAAATTATATTAATGTTACGAAGAAATATTTTTTAAGAGTTATATAATATCAGTTTATTACATTTACATTTTTATAATTCATGATTTTGATTATTCTTAACACAACACACGAAGATGATACAACAGCTGATTTTACCCACGCATGCGCACTACCTAATTCTCAGTAACGTATATACTTCACTCAAATATAAGGTATCGTTAGACCCCCATGACAATTGAAATACGGTAAAATGGGAAGGGCCCCTTACGCGTACCTACTGTTGCACATAGATACGTCTATGGAAACAGATGTCGCGTTGAGCTGTGACGTTAGCATGCACATGCGCACAAAGGCTCCCACGTGGGAGAAAATCTCACGACCTAACGTGATTGGTTATAAATTTGAGTACGCCATTGGTTATAAATTTGATAAGAGTACGAACTTGTTAGTCCAATTTTTATAAATATAATTCCTTCTTTTGTAACTTTTTATAATATTAATCTTATTAACAATATAAAATGTTTTTAAAATGAAATTTCTTTAATTTTATTTAAAATAATAAAAATATTGTTTTCTTGTTCAATGTTACAAAATGCTATTGGTCGTATGGGTAGAATTTAATCTTTTTTCATTGGTCAACATACATGATACCAAGAGACAGATTCTGGGTGAACATTTTCATATGGATGATGCTGATCTAAATGTTATTCTCTATATATAATATATGGATATATGTGAACATATTATATGTATATATTATCACTATTGAAATGAGTTATTTATTTACTACTTGAAATCAACTTTTTGTAAGCTTAATCATCGACCGAAAGACAAAAATCTTTATTGTTTTATCATCATCATCATCCAAATATATTTGAATTTGACAGATAAACAAGGTATAAACATAATTGTGTTAATAGCTTGTCTTTAAATAAACGAATATATAATTTTATGTAAGAATTAAATGTTACAAAACCTGACAAAAATATAATTCGTTGATGTTTCTACTTATATATATATATGAATTATTGTTTTTAAACTAATACCTTGAATTATTAATTTTGTGTAATATGTAAATATTATTGGATGCGTATTAAAAAATATATTTAATATTTTCAGTAGCTATGTCCAATGAGGAGCGCCTTCGAAAGCTATTATCTGATTTAGGAAAAGCAACATTACGCGGTGTAAGAAAATGTCCTAAATGTGGAACGTATAATGGATCTCGTGGATTATGTTGTAAAAATAAGTATTGCGATGCAGTGTTTAAAGAACCAGGAGAAAAGAGAAAATTATCAACCGAAGCATGTAAACTAATAACCGGTTCAGCTGCTCAAGTTTTCTCTGTTCGAGTTAGAGATAAGGGTCCTGATTATCGAGGTTTTGTACAGTTGCCTGTAATAAATACATCTATTTCTAATGAAATGATAGCATTAATTTCACAAACAACTGCTCTATGTTTTGTCGATACTTGTGAGAGGAGTTTTGATACCAGTGTTCTTAAATGTCACGTAAGTTCAATATTATAATATATGTTTTTAATTTATCTAATAAAATTTATACAATTTATCATTATAAATTATAATTTTAGGAAAAGGATGCATCTGATGTAACAGTATCAACGTGCCAACATATCCAGGCTGCATTAAGATGTTACGCAGAAGCTCAGCCATTGACGTTAAGAAATTCTATTTTATCATCTTTAAACGTAAACAATGAAATGAAACAAGAGATTTGGTTATTAGCTACAGAAACGTCAGGTCCATTGGTACAAAGAGTATCTAAAAATATAATGGCTGTAAAATGTAAAGCTTCGCCAAAGCATCCTTTAGGATATCTTCATTTTTCTTTCTTCGTTACTAAATTGAAAGATAGAGTGGAACATCGGTGTTTTTGCAGTTGTACCGCATTTAAGGTAAATTGTTAGAAAAAGAAATATCTCTTAATGTTTATAAAGTTCTAAGAATTGCATAATTTTGCATAATCAAATTTTATTAACAGGGTACCGCTAAATCAATTGGAGATAAAATAGAAACAAATTTGTCACAAGCAAAACGCTGTGTACACTTTTACGCATGTATATGTGCCTTTGCTAGTGATCCTAAATTGTCGGAAGAATTTAATTATTATATAACCTTAGATCAAAATGATCTAAGTGTACCAAAACCACCGATGTCAATTTTAGAAAATAATGAACAAGATAAAATAGTTGGAATAGGTAATATATATTTTTTTTATAAAAAGATATTTCTTTTTCATCATAAAAGATATCTAATTTTGTGTTGTAACTAATGCTAGATCTAGATGCTTTAAATACAGATGATGCTGAAACGCATCTGTTGATATTTCGTGATGACACTTTAACTGTGCAAAGTTTAGATGGAAATAGACTTGATTTAGATTCAATGAACTTGGAATCATCGATTTTACCTAATAACATTGTTGAAAATATCGAAGTGGAATGTGATCGTAGTTTATTAGAAGATAATAATATTATTTCTCAGGTATTACATTAAACTACTATTATATATTATTTATTAATAAGTTAATGAAAGTATTATTCTAACTATATTGTAATTATTTTGCAGGTTCATAATTTGGAAGTTATTGACCAAAATAGTGTGCAATTTAATGGAAACACAATGAAAATCTTAAATGAACAAGCTGAAATTGATACAAAGTACAATATATTAAATAGTCAATATATCTTAAACGATAATAATATTAAAATATTAAATACTAGAAATTTAAAAGTCATTGATACAAATACAGTATTAGATGTTAACAATATCAAATTAATAGATACTAATGCAGTAATTAATGGTAATGAATTTAAGATGATAGAAAAAAATGCATTAATTCAATACGATAATGGAAATATGTCTAATTCTGAAAGCGGGACTGTACAACCTACTGTTTCGATAAAGCGAAAAAGAGATGATAAAAACGTGAATAAATTAAGCGCTACTGGTCTAAATAATTTAAGTTCTATCGAACCGAGAAAATCAAAATCAAAACCAACTATTATAAAGAGATATCAAAATTCATGCGAAGATTTCGATGAATCTAACACAAGCCTGCCTTTCATTAAATGGTTAGCATCAATTACAGAGAGAATTAATCAAACAATGCATTTTCAGTTCGATGGAAAACCTGATCCTTTGGTATTTCACGTACCACAAATATTTTTTGATTGTTTACGGGAGCGAATATCTTGTGGTGGTAAAAAGAAACGTTTACCTAATTCGACGACAGCCTTTGTTAGAAAAGACGGAGTACCGTTGGGTACCTTTACAAAATATACATGGCAAATTACAAATATATTGCACGTAAAGAGTATTTTTGAAACACCACTTATACCTTTAGAAATCACAAGAAGTTTTATACAAAATGCAGATGGAACGTATGAATTATATAAAAGAAAGGAAACAGATATCGATCGGTATAAAAAAACAAATAATAATGCATTGATCAAACCGTTAGAATTGAAAACTTATTTAAAAGTTGGTAAGGACATTTTCACATTTAACATTATTTTATATGTCAAATATTTCAATTAGGATATAATCTATCATAAATAATATTTTTGTAGGTAATACTTCTCCTAATCAAGTAGAGCCAACACCATTCTTAATAGAATGGATACCAGATATTTTACCAATATCCAAGATTGGCGAATTAAGAATTCGATTTGAGTTTGGACACGTTAAAAATGAGGCTAACCAAAGATGGAGAAAGATAGCGTTATCGAAAAATTATTGAATTAAAAGTTTAATATCAGTATAAGTTAAGTATTTATTTTCAAGTATTGTACTGTTATTTCTTTGTTATATTACAAAATTTTAAATGTTTTATAAGAAAACACGTAATAATGTTTTACATTGCATACTAATGTATATATTTCAATCAACAATTTATTCTATGCAAAATAATTTTGCATTATATTATAAATTAAATTGAAATATACTTTAACCCTTTCAGTACATAAATTTTAATAACGAATATATGAAAAATATTGTAATTAACTTTGTATATTTCTATGATGCGTGTAAATATATTATGTATTCATATGAATATATTAATTTAAATTGAAACATAATATATGTAATAATTTTAATGTAATTGATGTAGTACTCAAAGGGTTAAACAATGAAAAATTATATATATACATATATGCTTTGAAAAAATTTAAATATGCTAGAAGGTTTATTAGATAACGTATTGAAAAATATATAAGTATTGGCGTTTTTGTTCGTAACTCTAATACGTTAGAGTTAAAAATTTTTAAACGTAAAGACTGACCTCTGTTTTTTTTTTTTTTTTCTGAAAAAATGGGTACAAAGCGTGTTTTTAATGAACAATGTGTTTGCCAACTGCTACGAATTACATTTTAGAAAATCGTTTAGAGCTTGCGGTGTTTAACAGTAATTTTATTTGAAGAAACAAAATATATATTAAAAAGTTTTTTTTTATTTATTTACTAGACGAGTACCACCGAGATGAATTGAAGTAAAGACAAAAAAAAAAAAAAAAAGAAAAGACAAAAAATAAAGGAAAAAAAGATTCCAATTGTTTTTAATATAAAACGACGAATGTATTATACAACACGTGTCAATGTAAAATATTGTATATATGTATTGTGGCATATTTTCAATCAGAAATGCTGAATTAATATGTTATTTAATAAATACGTATTCTATGATATAATAAATTTTTCAATTTACTTCAATTAATTATTAATTTTCTATCACAAGGACGTACACCTATTTTATATTTTATTTTTTTAATTGTTTAAATAACGAAATAAATAAATATATAATAGGTAAAAAATACAACGATTACGTATATATATATAATATAAGTTAAAAATGTCTTTTATATGCTCCATAAGCACAAAAGTAATAAAAAGAAACTTATCTACAGGTTTTCAAGGTTAAGCCAGACGTAAATACTAAGTGAGCATGATTGTTATGTTAAAAAAAAACTTATTCGACTTTGATTTAACTAGAAAAGAGAAATAAGTATGTATTTGTGGTGTTTGCGTGTGTGTATGTGCGAAATATAAAAGAACAAAAAAAGACAATCTATTTATATTTCTGAAAATATCAATATTTTTTTTAACCAAAAAAAGCTTACTCTTTTATTACGCGTATATCATATAAAATAATAAAATGAAAATATGTATTATGGATTTCGTAATAAAAAAAAGCGCGGTTTTCCAAGGTATATATGTATGTATGCATCTCGTATCCCATCTATGAGGATTCCATGACTTTTTTCTCTAGTCATAGCACACGACGTTACGCGATGGTGTCTCTTAACTGTACAACGTTAATCAATCGAACTTTGGTCAACAAATTTATATTGAATAAAAATCATTATAATACATAATATATTTATCATAAAATAATACGAAAGTATTAATAAAATAATTATTGAAGAAATATAAGTTATATTTAAATGATATAAACTTGATGCGCGATTCGTTCTGTTGAGTTAAGATTCAACCGGAAACAATGAATATGAACGGAAGCTGTCTCTGACGTAGGAGAGTTAGAGAAGCGTACACTTCCATTTTCTTGATCCACTCGGCGAAGTGAGAGCACGTGTTTGTTCGCCGGCACTTTTCTTTGAAAGACTTAATTTTAATAACAATCTTCGCAAAAAGTAACCGTCACGCGTACACGGTTATTAATTGTCTTGTGTAACGTTGTAATCGATCCTTAAGTTCTTACATTTTACAAACTAGTATCAACATGAATCCTGAAAAGCTTAAGAAGCTCCAAGCCCAAGTACGAATCGGCGGTAAGGGAACACCCCGTCGCAAGAAGAAGGTACATCAATTGCACTTTTTTTTAATTGTATCATTTTTATTTAAGTATCTTTTCCTTTTATCGTCCCTTTTCTTATCTTTTTTGTTTTCACCTATATAAATTATTGCTCAATACTTTTGTCCTTTTCCATATACGTAGATACACTAATTTCAATGAAAGAATTATTCAAATAATAAAATATACTCGTAACTTATTTCATTGATAGATAATAATGAAATGTTTAACTTGACAAGTTTTATATTTGAAATGCTTTCTTTCATGATTTTATATTATAGGTTTTTTTTTCCTCTCATTTCTTTATTATAATTCATTTGTTATTATTAATTTCAATGATTATTAGTTTGAGAAAGCATGACATATTTTTTGATCAATTTAATCTGTAGTTAAGTTTCATTTTTATTTCTTTTCATTTTTAAATATTTATCATAATGCATATTATTTGTTTTCATTATATTTATGGAATTTTTAACAATAATATTTATGACACTTTTTAGGTAGTACATGCAACTGCTGCTACAGATGACAAGAAATTACAAAGTTGTCTAAAGAAATTATCAGTTAACACTATACCTGGTATAGAAGAAGTTAATATGATAAAGGATGATGGCACTGTCGTTCACTTTAATAATCCAAAAGCTCAGGCTAGTTTGTCTGCTAATACATTTGCAATTACTGGCCATGGGGAAAACAAGCAGATAACCGAAATGTTGCCTGGTATATTGAGTCAACTAGGTCCAGAAGGTTTAACGCAGCTTAAGCGATTAGCAAGTACAGTGGCCGGTAGCGCAGTTGGCAAAGCAACGCTGGAAGAAGATGATGAAGTTCCTGATTTAGTTGAGAACTTTGACGAAGCTAGCAAAGAAGAGGTACACATTGCATTCTATTTTTATAAATACAAACATTAATAATAAGAGAGAAGAAATATCAAAAAAAGTATTTGAAATTTACTAGATTTTAGGTCATTATAGGTTAACACGTTCCGTGCCACATTTACCACAGGTGGTACACTTAGACAAATTTATTTAATACTCTGAAAATTAAATGGCCTGAAAGACAAATTAAGCAAAAGGGGCTTAGCACGGAACGTGTTAACGGATGAGTTTTAAAACTGTCAGTTTTTATTAATATTTACATTTTGCCTATTGTTAGTGTTTATTCAAGGTTGAACAAAAAGTGACAGTATTAGATTAACAAAACAAGTTGACTAGGCAATATATAAATAGACAAGTTATATTATTATTACATGCTTGTGTTTATTTTTAGGTCGCACCAAAAAAAGAAGTTGAGGAAAATGATAAAGCCTCTGCTGACAAAAAGGAAATTATCACAATCGAGGAAAAGAAAGAAGCACCCTTAGCTACATCCGAAGCTTAAATAGTTATTGTCGAGTGTCGAGGTAAAGCCCTAGGTATATATACATATATATATATACACAAATACATAGATTTTAACGATAAGTCTCATACTTAGTAATACAAGTATTATTGTTCATATTAGATTTTCTTATTTTCTATAGATGTTTCCCAGGACAGATTGTTTTAATTAAAAGTCAAGAAATGCAAGTTGCATAAGCAACCAGTAAACGAAGTATAACTATACACACACGTTATAAATACTTGACATACACTATAATATTACTATATGAGTAATAGTTGACAAGAAATAAAACAGAATATTACAGAAATTAAAATATTTTTACGAAAGATATGTTTCTTACTCTCTTTATTGGATCTGTTAAACGTCTATTTTGTTTCCAATTAGTCAGTGAAGAATATTATTATTCCTGAATTAAAATAGAAGCGTGAATATGCATATATATACTAATATGTTTAAACACAAATTACATTCTATAACAATGTTGTGAACGTTCATCTCAGTTGCTCAAGTGTGTTTAAAAGACTAATGCAAGATAAAAAATTTATAATAAAAGGCTATATATATATTTATATACATATAAATATATAAATATATATATATTATATTGATGCCTTGAAACAAAGAGCGAAGATTTTTTTAAAGAAAAGCATTATGTTATTAGCTTTCATTTTTTGTTACGACTAACTATATATATATATATATATATATATATATATATATATATGCTGGAAATGAAGTTAAAGTAATGGGAAAATAAAAGAAAAATAACATAATTACACTCGAGAAACAGAGGATATGGTTTATCTATCTGTAATAATGTTATTCAACAAAGGAAAGTTTATATAGATTATAGAATGAGGCAAAAATAGGTGAAAAATATTGAAACATTTCTATTTTAATTGATGAAGTTATTGACAATGGCTAATAACTAGCTACTACTGAGTGATACCCCATTGGCAATGGCTTTCCAGCACAGAGAAAGAAATGGGGTGTAATATTTTGTAATGTAATCTATGGAATAAATTCTTTTGCTGGAAATGCGGTTTTCTACTTAAAAGAAGAAAAAAAAACAGAATTAAAAAAAAATTAATAAATTTCATGCGTTCCGTCATTATATACAGTAATCTTATTGTCTCAATATTTATATTTTCATTGGTAGAATAAAACGTGTATCAAATATGTAGTATGCAAATATACTAATAAGAGCTATGTATATATACACACATATATAAATAATGTATCTAATAGAAACTTTGTATACCTAACAACGCCTTACATCAAACAAAGTTTTATCTTTCGACCATAAGTATAAAAAAAAGAACAAAATGCGCACACAAAAATATGAACTAACAATTTTTTTTATATTTGCATAATATAACAAACATTTTGCTTGATTCGATTTTGTTTATTTTTCAACTTACAGTTTTATCTCTCTAATGATTTTTTCATTTAAAATAATATATTTATTAAAATCTCTTACGTTAAATGAAGTAAAAAAAAAAAAAAAGACGTAACGCATTGAACTAAAAATTAATTAATTTTGATAAACTTTGTATGTTAAATGTATTTTATAATAATTAGTTTCATCTTATAGTTTTATAATTTATATTATCAAGTATTTAATAATTTAATTGATTGGAAAAGTTTTTCAACATAGATTTGATGATCTATGAAAAGTGAGAACAAAAATTAATATATCCTACTTTTTTTTTCATTATTTGCATCATTTTATTTATTCTTTTCTTGAAATTATAATATTCATTCCTACATCGTTCAATAAGACTTCAAATATAGTTTAATACACATACCAGGATGATTTGAAATTGACTTATGGAACAGTGATAAATGAGTAAGTAAAAAAAAAAATAAATTAAAATAAGATAAAATAAAATTAAATAAAAAAAAAAGAACTATAAAATGGAAGATGAGGCTTACGTGTAATCTCAACATTTTTCTAACAAAATGTCAACAGTCAAGGTAATTGGGGAAGTATAGTAATTGAACATGCAATTTGTCACTTACAAATTTTAAATGTTCATGTATATATGGGATATTCCACATCAAATTAACCACTTTTGACTCCTTTCGATTTTTCTGAAACTTTTTTATCCTTTTTAAAATCATTAAAAAACATTTTCAGAATTTTTACAGATTTTTGGGTACTATAATTTTGGAATTGCAGCTAGATAAAAGATTTACGTTGACTAATTTTTTCATTCACCCCTTTTTTCATGAAGTTTTGTACCGATGATTTTACGAATATCCTACATTTTTTTCTCGTATGATAGAAACAAGTAAAAAAAAAATCACATCCTTTTAAGATGCCTGTCATAAATATTATAAACATAAAAAAAAACAAGTAGATCCAATAAATTCTTAAATCCTGCCACAGATATGTTAATAAATTACACATTTTATTAACAAAAATATTTAAAATTTTTTGTAAATCTTTGCAAATATTCAATGTTATATTTATTATGGACTTTTAAATATATATATTTCATATTTAGTGCTTATATGTGTGCCTTTAGAAATGCATTTATACATATATAATATTATAAAAAGCAGGAGAAGAATCAAAAAGGTTTGTTGTTAAATCCAACGAAGATCACCTGTAACAAAAAGAAAACTATATTAATCATACAATCAACTTATGCAATAGCCTGATAATATAAATCGTCCAATTCGCAGATGCACTTTTTAATTAAATACTCCATTTATTTTTATCAAATATCTATTTATTGTTGCAATGAAATTAAATTTAAACGCGTGATTTTACATTTAGAAAAAATAAAAAAAAATAAAAAAGTAGAAGTACAAATATTAAGTTACTAGAGAAAATAATATCCATTACTTATTATGATTAATACTTTTAAACTGCATTCTATAGAAAAGAAAAAATTGAAAAATTAATAAAATACGATAGCAATGAAAAATATTAAAGACAAAAAAAAAGAGAGATTACTTTAATATTAAAAAAACGATTATTAGGCTTTAAAATTTAAAAATAAGGAAATTAAAATTTTTTTACTCGAACTAACTAAACACATATGCATCTTTTTGATGATATAAACACAAATTTGGTGTCCCAAGGAGATGGAATGGTCCATCATCTCCAATTACAACTATAAATTAATGACGAGCAAAAAATTAAAACAATAAAAAATAAAATATGACTAAAGAACCATTCTCGAAAGGTTCAAACATGATGTTGAATCTTTGAAAATAATTCAGTAGCCTGTAGTTGCCCTCTTCAGCCACAATAAAGTGGGGGCCTCTTCGGCATTAAGCCTCTTCTTTCTTCATTCCATAAAAACTGCATTTGGACATTTCTTACGTGCCAGCAAGATAAGATCTTTCATACTAATTTTGCAAATGAACTCGTATTTTGTTATGATTCTAATTCTCAATTATTACAAAATTAATTTACATTTCGCGTTCATTTTTCTAACTCGTGGACCATCAATGAACTTAAAATTCATTGATTATACACGAGAATATTTATTCGAATGTCCAAGCAGATAATAATTTCCCTCGATGACCTAATAACACTTCGCACTTTTAACGTCGAGTAATAAAATCAAATTGAAATAAATAGTGCAATAAATGTAATGCATTTTCTTGCAATACCTTCATTTCATAATTTCGTTATTAATTTATTCGTTAATTATATCAAATATTTCTAGCTGTAAGACGAAATCGCGATAGTGTGCGTAGTGCTAATCCTGAAATACTTAAAACTAAGTATCAAATGCATCAAAGAATTTGCGAATTTGATTCGACTCTATCTCGTTCGAGATAAAATCAAAGTAGAAATTAATCTTTCAAATGGTTACAAATATCTTTGAATCATGATACATAATAAAGATCACAGAATAGTCACAAAATAAATTAACCAATCAAGCATAATAGAATGAGTTGATAAAATATTGTAACAATTCTGTATAAACCAGGAGGCGGAATTTCCACTCCGGAGTGGAAGCAAGAAGTCTAATGCCTTTCCTGGATCCTACCTACTTAAAATTAAAGTTTTCACATTCATTCAGAGAAGTATGCCTGCCTATTATCCATATTTTTACCCATTTTAAGAAAAACCATACATACCCACCCACTCACTCCACGGTTCTCACACATACCACCAGGGTGCA